ACCCCTGACATTCTGTGATTCTGTGAAGATGTCACTCTTGCTATGCAAGTTGATTTTTCACCCCAGCACCACAGCAATGTATTTCTACTTCTCCTACAGCACAATTAAGAGACATCTAAATAAACATGCCCATGCCATTTATTTCTCAGAAACACCAGAAACAAAAGGTCAAGTTATCTTCTGAGAACTTTTTTGGTTCGACGAGCCAACAACCAGTGGCAGAATACTCCAGACGGAAGATCTTTCCCAGACTGTGACCAATACTGCATAGGCTGGTTTTGGATGCGTGAAGCCTGATGCAGAATCCCATCTTGTTACCTCCTGAAGGCAGATCGGTCAAAACTTCCGTGAAGGCTGTAATTGTGCTTTAGGAGAACTTCCCTGCCTGAGGTGGTGGGCCAAGGAAGCCCCCTGCTTGCTTGGTGGCAGCCCGGGAAGGGGCAAGACCGAGCATCTTCTGGATGTTCTGCGAAAACAAGAACAGAAGAGCAGGATAGCGTCAGACCACGATGAGGGAGACAAAGGGGAAGAATTCCCAATTCTGTTTACAAGTAAAACCTTCCCACTAGTTTCAACAGATTCTGATTCTGACCCACACAGCCTTACCAATCTGGTTACTCTATGTTGGATCTCTATCCCTATGCATTTGAAAAAGCTTCTCAGACAGATGTCCATGACAACTACAATTAGAGTTGGGCCACTCCGCCTCAACAAAAACCTCCTGATCATTAAATCCACATTTTGGTTGAAGGTTCTTTTCCACCTCCAGCTACACACCATGGAGTCAGTCAGCAGGTACCTCGTTAATGTGTTTACACACAGGTTGGTTGAATATCAACCTACAACAGTTACATTTCAATTCAGTGACAGAACGCACACGGGAGCAGGTTCCTAAACGTGCTCACAGGGAGAACCACAGCGTTTCTCACAAGTTCCAGAAACCACTGTTGATGGCGGCCATCAGAGCCTGAGGGTCTGCAAGCTGGCGAGGAAGGCTTTCTCCTAATGCAGCCGGAATTTGGGTCAGCAACATGGCAACCGGAGCGTGTGCCAAGTTCAAGTCAGGAGCTTAGGCACAGAATTAACATGAATGCTAGTGATGCAGACAGAACAATGGTTCGGTGGAGACATGCAGTGTAACAGGACATATGTAGCAAAACCCAAAAACTGGCTATTGAGATGACCTCATCTGCATCTGAGCAGGGTGTTTCAGTGGAAAACAACAAACAAGGAAAGAATGAAGTAGCAGAGCCAGGCATTAGCTAAAAACCTCGCAGCAGAATATTTCAATCTAATGTTTTTCTTGATTCTTCGTGGAATTCCTTTTAAATTTTGCAATAGCGCAACTACAAAGAGCTACCAGTTCTTTCAGTTTCATTCTTCACTAACTACAGCCCAAGATGCTGCTCATGCGGTGCTGGCAAAACAGGGACATCAGATGCAAGGGAAGGAAGAAGACAACTGTGTCCTCCTCATGTCACCAGCTGAGTCCTGGCTATCGAGACAGCAAAAGAAGGAATGGAGGATTCTCTGCAAACCTGAGCATCCTCTCCAAAATAACTGTCAGGATAGGTCAGACAGCAAGGTCAGAGTTCTTGAACTCTTCAATCATGGAAACAGGAAAAAAAAAGAAAAAGAAAAGAGTGCTTCACAATTCCACAATAGATAATGAGATAATTTAAAAGATAAATAAAATCAGAAATCATTCCAAGTGGAGACTAAGGAAGATTTCAGCCAACACACAAGCGTGAAAGTAAAAACAGACACTTGAAAAGGAATTATATCAGGCTTAGTCCATGGCCTACATAAATCAGCCACTGGCTGATATGCAGCAACTGAATACATCAGAGCATTGCACTGTGGGAGACTCCTTTGTTCGGCCCCTCTTCTCCGAGCTTCCTTAGTCAGAGCCCGAGTGAAACGGGAAGACAAAAGCAGCTGAGACACAGACTCGGCAACACCAGAGGGCGCCGCACAGCCAGCGGCAGGCAGGACCAGGATCCCATCAGCTTCGTGCCGGCTCACCCACGGAGCAGAGATCATCCCTGTGCATCCCAGGAAACAAGGAAACGTGCACTGCCTCCTTCCCATTCCTGTGAGAACTGCGGTGCTGAAGTTTATTCCATCTGCTTGAACAGTGTCAGGAGGAAGAGAGAGATGACAGCTTGTCTGTATGTGGATTCAAGACTACGGTCACTCCTGAGCATTATCCTTCCGTAGTCGTCCCCTCCTTGGTAGCCTCCAGCTTTGCTGGACAGCTGAGCACTGCAGCTGGAAACACCAGGGCTGGGACAAGGCCCAGCAGAAACCTGTCCTGTCTGCTGTGGGCCACGTTGCACAAGGAATCGGTAAAGTCTACTTCCAACACAAACAAGACCATGACCTTCAGGAGAAGGGAGGGAAGATTCTAAGACTTAAGGATCCAACTTCCTCAGCTGAGCCCTTCTGAACTTTCCTCAAACGACTGCAGGAAGGACTAGAGCTGCTTCCGCTTTTGTCTTCAAAACCCAGAAGCAACCTCAAATACAACGCAGCAAGTGGCTCCCTGCCACCAGATCAAGTCGTGTGGGACAGTACAATCCCAGCAATAGGGATCATTGCTGGCTCTCCTTCCCACTGGGAACAAGTTTCAGAGCAAAGTAGCCTCATCTACAGTTGAGGCATGTGTGAAAAGGAAGTGAAGACCAGCAAATGCCTGAGGAACAGCAGCCTATTCCTCTTCACAAACAGCTCAGGTGAAAGCTGGGAGCCCAGACACGGGAGCGAGGACAGAGGATGTAACCCTGACATCAGGCCTCCTGCCCAACCCAGCAGCAAACTTTCCCAGCTGAAACCCAACGGCTCAAGGACCCTTGGAAGGCCTCACCCAGCAACCTCCTCTCTCCAAACAGGAAGGCAGGAGGAACTAGGGGACAGGATTTACGTGCCAGGGAGAGCTGGGAACAGCGCAAAGGAAGTTTACTCACTGCGAGTTGACTATTTTGGGAGATGCCGGCCAGGTCACAGGCAGCAAGCTTCCCAGTCAGTGTTTGAAGAGTTTATCACCCCCACATGCCTGAGGACAGTATGAAGAGAGTGCCTGATGCTGCTACTGCCCATCCCACTAATGTCAGTTTAATCACCATCCATTTAGTCTCCTCAACCTCACGTACTTCCCTGCGTTTCCCTTCAGGTCACTTTTTTCACACACATGGGAGCTTCTCTACTTGTGAGCTCCCCAGGGATGTTGTCTCTCTCCCACCTTTAACCTTTTAACGGGGAGCTCCTGGACTTAAGGGAAGGCTGAGGGACGTACGGTCTCCTTAGTTTATTCACAACCTGTTCCCTGACTTTTGGTACACCTCCACTCCTCCCCCTGTGTCAGAGGCATCGAGCCAGACACTAACTCCCACAGCAGTTCTCCTCCCTGGGGCTAACAGCTGTTTTAACGCCGACCTGGAGAGAGTTCCCCTTTGCACACAGTGAGACACAAAGGGTCACAAAGCTTTCACAGCCAAGGTCATCAAAAGGAAAGCCAGTCTTCAGCACCATTTTAAGCCCTTAATTACTTTCTTTTCCTCTCCCCTGGCCTCTGACAGCCCTTCAAAGTCCTCTTCCCAACGTTGTTATCACCTAAGTTCCTTCAAATAGCAATAAAGCAGAGAGCAGGATGCCAGCAATCACAGCTTCAGCTCTTAGCTTTCGCACAAACTAATGCAGCTGGTCTCTGCTCTTCCATCTGTGTAGCAAGGAGGAAGAAATTAAGCTGCCCAACAGCTGGAGAACGGCAGTCTAACACTTCAGAGCACCCTTCTTCAAAGCAATAAAGTAACTTCCATCCTCCGCAGGGCCATCAGCACAAACTCTCAAGCACAAGGGCAATTTTTTTTTTCCTCCACCAGAGTTTCTCTTGAAAGCCCAACCTACTGCAAAATCCTCAGCATTTCTGCCCAGAACCAGACCCAAGCACCACTCAGTTCATGCCGCCTACTGATTTCATAATATGAAACATCAGGAAATGCCCAGGACTAGAACTAACCACAGGAATTCTATTTTGGACCAAGAAAAAAAAAAATCTGTGGGGGATTTTTCAGCAAGGGAGTCCCCTGATGAACCCAAAGGCTGTACTAAAATCTTGCTGACGATGCTATTTAGTTTCATATAATAATGTGCAACACCAGAAAGAAAGAACTTTCCAAGTAATAGATTAGTAACACAGAGCAGGACCAGACAAGATTGCCTGAAAGAATAGCATCATCTACAGGATCCCAGGAATTCAGGAAGATGATCCTAAAAGTTAAAAAGGTCTCATTTCTTTCAAAGCAGGCAACACTGCTCCAGTTACTAGGAAGTGAAACAAGATTTGTCTTGCAGCAATGAGAATGAGGAAGCCCCTGGCCTTTGGTACTCTGAAGCTGGCCCCACTTGGAGTGAGGGATATGGGCCAGATGACCTCCAGTCACCTCTTTCAGATTAAATTAATTTACAATTCATTATCTGCTTTCGCATAGGACCAGACACAGATCCATTTCAACACAGACACCCAGTTTGGAGGGCTATGGAGAATTCTATTCACTAGCACACACTTTGTGAACTGAAGGAACTCTCTATTATTAAGCTGCTCCATCAAGCTCATCCAAACTTCTGACAGCAGCTGGCCTAACATTCCCTTTGCTGATCTGCTTTAAGCCTAAGTCCCTCAGCATCCCCTGAGGAAAAGCACCAAGTCAGTTAAAAAAGGAGAAAAGCAGCAAGAACTCAGGAAACGAATCAAAGAAAAAGGAAATACAAATACAGAACAGAAGATAATTTGCAGCTAGTTGCATGAGCATTCATCCAACCCTCAGAGTCTATTAACTTATCCCCAGCACTCTCTGGGGAAATCTGGCAAAACCAGACCTCTGGCTGCACTGAGAAGGTCCACTTGTACCCACCAGCCATTCTGCCACCCAAGCTGCTAGCCGATGTTCCTGAGCAGGCACTTCCCTTACCCTCCCTGATGCTCCCCTTCTCAAAGGAAGCTTTGCTGGGGAGCTCTGTGTAGCCTGCTCTTGGCTTGTCATATTAGATCCCCTTTCTGTGTCACATCTCTAACACTGGGAGAGACTCAACAGCAAAGGTAAAGTTCTTCAGATTGGAAAAAAATTTGGCAGTCAGCAAAAATTGGAAGAATAAACCCAAAAGAACAGGTTTAACCCTTTTTCTAGCAAATTTATGGACTGATTGAACCTTTAAAGAACCTCAAGCTACCAAAGAATTTCACCCTGAAGATGCTACATTCCTCTTTACTCATATTACTCTAAGTCACGATTACTACAAAGTAGTATTTGTATTAGCTTCTGATGCAGAGAGCCTCTTAGCACGGCAATCCACAAAGTTATTGGACACACATACACAAGGAAGGAACCTATTTCTACCAACTCTGTCCTAGCACCCAGGTGAAAGTCTTCAGTCAAGTGTTCCCAACCAGTCCAAGACAGTGGCTGTTTTTACGACCCCAACCTAGAATTGCTTTGATTATGAAGCACAGGAGTGAAGGCAAATCCAGAAACCACAAACGGATCAAAAAACATATATGCAAAACTGGACAGCAGTAAGACTCTTCTTTATGCATGGAGATACGCTTTCCCTGCTCCAGGCACAAAAGAGACAGCAACGCACTCACCTGTCTGATGGACATCGTGCAGAGAATGTAGAGGAAGATGAAGGAGCAGTCGGTGTAATCCTCACCCAAAAGGTTACGGTGGGAGAGACCTTGGATGTACGAGAGGGGGATAAATGGAAGCTTTGCCACCACCCGACCATCAAATCTGGAAAAGAGAACGCTGGATCACAATCAGGGACAGTACGAGTCTTTGACTATAGAAAGAACAAGTGAGCAGCTTCAGCAGGCCATCAGAGCAGGTAAGTCCACCTGGAAAGCTAAAAAGTCAAGTTTCCTTCTCCATCCCCCCCCTATACATACTACACCAAGGAGGCTAAATACACTTGAGCCCTCCACACTCAATCATGCACAGGGCTTCCCTCAGTAAGAGTTTTGTCATAGTCAGAGACAAAGTCTCTCCCCATGATTTAAGTGAGCACCTGGACAAACCATTGGTTCATAAAATCTTGGTTGGTGTTCTGCAGTTTACTTAAAAAGTCAAATTCAGATTATTTCCCAGAACATAGTCAGCACTTGAATAAAAGACAGATGATTCTCACCTTGCTGTATTGCAGTTACTGCAAGAAGACAAACTCTGCTTTAACCAAAAGAGCGTTTCTTTAAGCAGAACATAGATCGAAGATGTTTTTCCTTTCCTAGAGCAGCTATGCTTCTCGGCACAAGAAGGATGCATAAGACAGCCACCAGCCACCGAGAGAATGCTTTTTAATACCCACAGTCCCCTCTCCACTAGCTCAGAAGATGAAGGCAGCGCAGAGACAGGATGATACCATGTATCCCAAGCAGGCTGTCCTGCTCCTGGAACTCCTCCAGGTCCACATTCCAAGGCAGCAGGCAGAGTGTGAATTCTGGCCAGTTTGCAAAAGATTTCTCTTAACACAGACAGTTGACCCAATCTTTTGAAGTAAGTACGTATGATGTCTCATCAGCATGTGCATATTGGGATGTTATTTTCTCTGCATGCCCTGATTTTCAAACAGGTGTTTCTTGTTTCAAGAGATCCTAAATGAGCATTCTTTCCTGTGGAGATGCATTCACACAGCCACAGCTCAAACACACGCCAACTTTGTTTACATCTCAGAGGCAGTTTGGCAAAAGAGCGAGGAACGGATGTTTATCTCCCCGTAACATCCCCCAGTGGCTTAAAATTCTTTTTTGAGAATGACAAGTACTTCAGCAGTAGCACCCTGAGGTACCTGCTTCTAATTCCAGCAGGTTTTCACAGTTATCACGAAGGCGTACTGAAACGCACAACTCTCAGAACTGACTGCATTAAAAAGTAAGAAATTTGAAACACATAAAAGCTGATTTGTCCTCCGGGGAAAAATCCCATCTGCTTGGAGGCCATTGTCGTTACAGATCTCGCTGCCCTAACGTACTTTAAGCCACAACAGTCATTCAACTGCTCATCTTCAGCACAGTATTCCACTCCTTAGGTTTAAACCAGCCTTCTTGACACTTACATATCCTTCCAAAAGGGCAGGAGTAGCGGCATCTGCATAGGACTTGCCCAAAGGGCGGCACATCACGCTACTTCCATGCAATTCCTGCTCCTTTTGACCCCCAAAGCAATGAACTCATTTAAGAACAGGAAAGGCAAAAAAAGTCAGGCTACAGCCAGTGCAGGTGTCAGCCACCCTTTTCCTATCACACCCACATCGCCTCCATGGAAGACCTGGCCACAGCAGTTTCCCAGAGGGAGCCTAAAAGCCTCCTAAATTTGTAACTGCAGTACTCTCCTCCCGAGACAAACAGCTGCTCTTTATGCTATGTCAAAAGAACTACAGCACTCAAGCTCCATTAAACCAATCTATCAGCTTCAAACAGCACAACGCACTAAAGCTGCCATTCCGACACAAATGGCACGAGCTACCCTGTACTGAGAGCAGCAGCAAAAATTTAACTATCTAGCCCCAAAGGCAAGAGAGTGAAATCTTTAGATTTTAATTCAATAACCTCAGCTATTAGCAAGAAAGCTATTTCAGTTCAAACAACCAGTGAACTCTCTGGATACACCTGCTCTTCAGGTTCCTTCTAAAAAAAAATAATTAAAAAATACAGTTAAAGGAAACATATGTCCAAAAGCTTCACGTCAACTCCACGGCTCACTGAATCGTCTCTGTGGGCAGGAATCCTCTAAAGAGGAACGAGACAGCTAAAAATCAGTGGTTTTCAAGGAGAAGAACCCAACAAACTGATTTTTTAGGTCAATATCTATGTGAGAAGCAGCAACACAGGATTTAACCAAAATCAATTCCTTCCTAAAGCCCTTATTGAACTCACAGTCCTGTAACACTTGCCAGTTGTGGTGTACTCTGAACTGCCTCTTTCCACTCCAGGAAAGTGGGTAAAGTAGGGTGTGTTTTTTAGTTTCTACCAAGGGCAGAGGTGGTACCACAGCGGTGTTTGCATTGCACCCAGATAGCTAAGCAAGTACTCAAAGGCCTCAGGTGCAGCACTATAAATCCCCTGCACATGACTAATGATGTATTTCAATCCCTGCTCAGGGCTGCAGCAAAATGAGGCATCAGTGACTCAAGATTGTACCCAAATTTTAAAGTCCTTTAGTGCTGTCTTGCCCTGCTCACTTTCACAGCATTCCAGAGAACACTGGATGCTGAAGTCTGACTAAGTCGAATAAATAAAATGATCCACACCATGGCACTTCTGTTATTATGTTAGCCCCTGGCTGCAATTTATCCACCCACAGATCTGCAGAAAAATAACAACTGACTGCTTCCTCGGGACTACCAGCACAGAAGCCAAAAGTTGTGGTGCCCAAGAACATTCATTCCTGTTTGCGGGACAAGTAGATCGCCCAGATACTGAGCAGCCTTGCGCAGGTTATACTGACCATGTTCACATCATCTTCAGATTTAACAGTCTACGAGAAGGTCACATTTCAAGACTGAATTGAATTTTAAAAGGCAAGCAGAGGCTTTCAGTTTTGCACATCTGAAAGCTGAATGCAAATGAGTTGGGGCTTTTTTGTGTTTGTTTTTTGGTTTGTTTTTTTTATTACACTAGACCAATCTCAGGTCATTTTGAAAGTACAGGAAGATCAGAGCCCATGCCTGGACCTTAAGTAGGGCAACAAACTCTGCAATTATAGCTCATTTCTAGGGGCAAGGGAGCTGACCCAGTTTTGCTTGCAAGAGCATTCTTTGGTCACGCTGTTACAGCAAAACCAAAGAAGCTGAAGACTGTAGCTGCTTGCTCAACATCTACTGAACTTGCTCTCATCAAGATGTACCCAAGCAGAAAGGATGGTAAGAGTTGTGCCTAGATTAAATGCAATTTTTCAGTTGGATTGCATGCAGCATGCAGCATTTCCTCTTGAAGTGAAGGTGCATGTGGTGACCAAACCATCCCATCATCATATGAGATATTGATCCATTTTATACAGATTGGCTACGGTTCTTGGAGTGACTCTCCCACTGTAACACTTCATGTGATCAAGGGAAGGTAGAGAATATATTCACCATGAAAATTTGAGAAAAATCCAGGAAGTTGATACTTACATGGAGTTAAACATTCCCATCAAGGCAGTGAAGCAGAAGCCAATGGCAAACATGGATTTCATCCGAACCTGCAGACAGAGAGGTCAGAGATAATCAAACAACAGGCCCACACTGTGGAACTATGGGCTTGCAGCCTTAAGAATAGGCTTTGTATGGCATCACTGGAATCTAGAAGGAAAAAAAAAAACAACCCAGGAGGCCAGAGAGATTGTAAAATCGACTGTAGAACTCCCAAAGAGAAGTCTGGTCAATACTGGGTACAAAGGCTGCCACCACAGAGTGGACCACTGACAAGAGGAGCTGCTTTGGGGGCAGGGCGGGGAATGCTCAAGAATTGTCCTGCTACCTTCCACAAGTTGTTGGGGTTTTGTCTGGTTGGTTTTTATTGGTGTTTCAGGTTTCCCCTCGACTCCTTAAGCGTACACATCAGCAGGTGATCATTACAAAGACAGAACTTAGAAGACAAAGTCAGACAAATTAATTCTACTTTGAACGCATCATGGAGACTTATAAACATGGGCAAGAGATGAGGCAGTAACCGTGGAGAACTCTGTGTCTCAACACAAAAATCTGTAGCTATTACAGATAACCCAGAAGGACCTGTCAGGAGGAAAAAAAACGCTATGCCTGCCAACTGATCAAAGTCTTTCTGTTGAAAAGTTGACCAAAACCTTCAGCAGTCAGAAACTGGCTTAATTTTCTTACCATTGACAAGTCTCTGTTGTTATTCTTCAGTTTTTCTTCTTGTCTCTCTGGAAGGACAAAACCAACAACAGTTATACCAGCTTAGAAATCAGAGTGTTTTTATTTCCAGGAAGACTTAAACTTCTTGGCTCTCCAAACAAATAACACTTCCAAAACCAACTCCAGCTCTCAATGCCAGACAGTATAAAGTGAAAAACTGTACACAGCCAACTGCTTCTCCATCACAGCAACATGCAGCAAAGCAGGCACAAAAGAGGAGGAGGCTAGAATCACACGTTCAGCACTTTTGAAAGAAATGCACAGAATGTCAAATTTGCTAATTCAACCAACTAACACAGTAGCATGAGCAACACTGCCAGAAAACAAAGACAGTGCCTCTACATCACACTTCTAAAAGAAAGCAGCCTCAGTTTGCTGCACACCAGGCTCCCCATTACAAATACATCAGGTAAGGATTTAATTTTGGAAGTGTCAGAAGGGACTCCGAAATCATACACAGAGCCAGGAGTTGCACTTCAGCACGGCTAACATCCTGCTGGCCTTAGCAATGAATTTTGGACCCTTGTCACACCTAAAAGATTCTCCAAAGAAGAAAGACATTTTCTACAATAATTTCAGTAACGCATGTATTACTGTGCTTTGCAGAGAATAACTTTAGACTGCTGCTACAGAAATTTAGTCTGTCCTCAAATCATCATGAACTTCAGAATGCTCAGTTTTCTGCGAGGGTACGCTCCATGCCTCTCCCTGAAGGGCTACTCCAGCCTTGAGCATTATCCACCACCTGTCACCTTTCTTGTCCCACATCCCAAACGTCCCTTGACCGCTGCACTCCTTTCAGACTAAGGATGCAGAGGGGCAGCCAGGGCTTGGAAGTAACTGAAGTAAGGATGTGGACAATGAAGAAATATGCGAAGAACAGTGTGACAGAAGAGTGGAGAGGATGCAGTACGGCCAATGGCTATCCAGGATGTGAGTTGTCCAGTGAATGCCTGCTGAAATGTCAGTAGGAGAGGCCCAAGGCAGAGAAGTTCAACAATTACCTTTCAAACCCCTGCCTGAAACACAGGGACTTGCAGCAAGCGTTATGAAAAGCACCAGCAACACCCCTATCCAATTTCTTAAGAGTCTTCATTGCTATTTTCAACTGCTCCTAACTACAAACCATCCCCTCAGGCCAGAACTCTCCAGGCACCTGCTTCCTGACTCAGGTGGAGTTTTGTTCTGGGACATTCCAGCAACCACAAGCCAGCTCTTTAGGAATGACATTTGGCACAAATACTTGTTTTTTCCCCCTCTGCTACATAACTAACCATTTATTTAGATGGACTAAAGGTTACATAGGGATAAAGAATACAGCCCTGATACACCTGACCTGTTTCTCACCCATTTCGACAAATTCAAAACGAGCAGGCTCCCAGTGCCCTACCGCCTTACAGTCCTGTGCATGTCAAACATAAGCAGCATTTAAGGACTTTGCTAAGGAGTTGGGTAGAGGCAGAGAGAGAAAGGGCTGGATGAACAAGCAGCACCCTGTGGAGTCTAAAATCATCTTATTTTGCTCAGTGGCACACTGATCACGAGGATACAGGGATGCAACAACAATACCATTTGCCAATATTTTTTGTTTGGTTTTGGTTTGCTGTCTACCCAGCACTCACACGGCCTCCTGGGAACATCACTGTTTTTTCTTCCGCGGCACATTGATGCAGAAGGCAGTAGCAAAATTTAAGCTGAAAAGGCAGAAGGCTGCAGCGTGATGTTAAAGGTGTCTTGTTCCAGCGGATGATTTAGACAACGCGACTGAAGTCTGTTCACTCTACACTAAAAAGGTTTTATAAGTAGGAAACATCAAATTAAGCCTTTCCACACAACTTCCACCCTGCCTCCTTGTGCACACGCACGATTTATCCCTTATGTAATCAAGTAATATCATACACACACCTCAATTCTGTGCACAAAACAGATGGCAAGTGAGGCAGGTCCGTTCCACAGCTGTGACTTATCTCTAAGGCCTTAACTAGAATGGTAGAACTTAAAAGGAACTCCAGCACAAGTAAATTTGCTGTTACAACAGTGCTACACCTTGCAGAACGATCTGACATGCACTAAGTTACTGAGACCAGAGATTCAAAAGCAGTTAAGAGCTGCGAGTCATTATTTTGGATGTCCAGCTTGACACTTAGGGACTGATTTTTCAGAAACACTAAGAATTCGGCTTTGCCTGAAAACAAACAAGACACTGAAGTTATGCAGCACTTGTAAAAAAAATTTTAAAAAAAGAAAAAAAATCAGTCTCAGTATCTTAGGCTTGGCCAACAAGCACGACAGCAAACAAAATCAGTGGTCACTTCCTAAGTTCTGTTCTTAGTTCCTTTGTGCTTTGTTGTTCATTTGCAAATCAAGATTATTTCAGTGTATTAAAAAAAAAAAAATGGTGGAGCATCTGAATTGCTCAGATTGTACTGTTTATTAGTTCAGTCCACAGCACAAGTAAAATATTGTCTACTAAGAACATAGCTTGGATGGTGCCCTACAAAAAAGCCATTGCCACAAAAGCGATCATACGCAACAACAGCACGTAACATTAAAAAGTTGCTTTATCTACCAAGTAGCACTCATCCCATGCAGGGATTATTCAAGATTAAGAACTGAAAATGCACAAGAGGAAGAATTTTGGCTCCTATCCCTTCAGGAGTCTAGTAATAACAGGTTTTATACCTAGGAAGGACTGTTTGAAGATATGTTTATAATTATTCCCAAGCTTTGTATAGATCAAATGACTAATCCAGCTACCTGGTGTTACAGAGGAATGAGGAAACCAACTCCCAGGAGCTCTGAGAAACATTCCCGCCACAATTTCTGTAATAATTCAACTGAGCTTTACCGCATGTTTTACAGTCCTGCAGAATAACGGAACTTTCTAAAGCTCATGTTCATTAAACATCTATCATATTGTTCTCGCATGGTTCAGTACTTAAAGATTTACCCTGCCCCAAAAAAGACTCAAGCTTACTGACAATGAAAAAGAATAGAAAAATAAATCACTACCTAAAACCGAGAAAACATAGATTTATTAAAAGTTTGATAAGTTTAAGTTACATTTAACAGGCAAGCACCATCAGCTCTGAAGTGTTCAAATGAGGAAAAAAAGGAAATACTTTTAAAAATACAATCATACAGACATAACTATTGCCAGCCCAACACAAGACTTTTGACAATAGAAGTTAAGAACAGTCATGGATATGAAGGATCCAACTGGGAAGAAAGACAAGCACTTCAGCAAGAAGTGCTGCCCCTTTCAGTACTACTGCCCTTCTCTGTATTTACCTAAAACAATCAGGGGGCTACATGTCTCCTGCCTCAGAAGAGTAAGGAAAACTACTTGAATTCTAGTCCTGAGGCCAAGAATCACCTCTAGTACTACTTGAAATAAACAGCTTTGAAAGAAAAGAAAGGATAATCGCTTTCATATGTTTCTCAACTTTCCCCCATTCTAGGGGAACTGTGTTCCTCTCCCAGTCTTACCTATTTTCTTTTTCTGCTGTCGGCCTGCTGATTCAGTTATCGTTTCCTTCTTCTTTTCCACTGTCAAGTGAAAAGATATTCCATCAGTTCTGCACAGGGACATCACCACTCCTTTTCCACACACCAAATAATATTTTATTTCTTTAGAGAACAAGGACACAAGAAGTAGCCAGGTATGACTAAGAACATACTCAGAATCTGTAAGGTATAAACTACCAAGGCTGACTCCACCAAACACTTCAAAAAGAAAAGAACAATTCAAAACCCTGGATGAGATATCAGAATATTTAAAGGGTTAATTTTAAACTCTGTCAAGAGTCCATTACATTGTTAACTGAGCAGTCTGGGGACGATTTTGGCTCTACTGACCCTTGCTGATTTGTCATTAGACAGTACTTTTGATTCAGCAAGTGTAATGAAAAGAGCTTTGTGGCAAGCTCTGCTCCTGATTATCTGCAGTGGGAAGCAGAATACAGGAAAGCCTGTGTTCTCACACATCCCTTCTTCGCAGGCAGGCGTTCTCAGGGGAAACAGCCACAGCCTCTCCATTCTTCAGTTAAACAGTACTTGAGCATTTCCAACATTTTCAAGCAAGAATCTAAACTTAAAGTTACTAAACCCCCAAATCAGACGCTCACCAAGCATCAGCAAACAACTACCACCACAGTAAAAGGCTAACACAAAGCCAGAACAGTGAACTTGTAACACGTACATGAGCTGCTCATCTGTAAACGCTCTTCTGCTGACAGAAAGAGCAGCTTTCCCGGGAAATAAGAGACATTTTAACAGAAGACTTATTACACAAGTACTACAAGTGAGGATGATAAAGCATGACTACAGTCTGACAACAGATAGTAGATTTCTTTTTTTCCTTCTCCAAATTCTATGTATCTGTACCACATCTACTCCACCAATGAACAGATGTGGCTCCTTGTTGGTTCACAGAATCAACTTAAGAGACCGGAGCATTAGGACTCTTCTCCCACACAAAGTACTAGCTCAGCACAGATCATCCAGCCTTGATTTCAAAGCACAGGCGAAATAAAGCCAGAGAGCCTTCCAAGCCACACAAGGATTCGTAGTGCTGCCTTCTCAAATGCTGTGATCTAAGTATCAGTCACAACTGCTGAGAAAGTCACACTAGTCCAGACAAGATACCTAAACACCATCTCTTCCGTGGTGAGGGAGGAAGGCACAGACTTTTCCAAAGAAAAATCGTCTCTCTGATAGGCAGGACAGCACAAGGGGTAATCACAAAATAGGGAAGCTTGCTCAAAGGGAACACTGGAGAGAGGTGCCAGATGACACAACACACCCAGTGCTTACAGAATGTGCTCTCCATAAATATCCTTATGCCAAATTCAGTTGGGGATCCCAACCAGTCCATCCCAGCTCCAGTCCACATAACCCCATGGCCCCAACTCTAAACCCAACTGGAGAACACTTGGACTCTTTCCACACCTACTGACTGCTCCCAGCCCTAACAACAGGGCTCCTCCAGACCCCAGCTTCACTCTAGACAGCGCTATAGAGTTTTATGGCAACATCACGGAATTCTACAGCCTTACTTCTCCTCTGGTTTTCAAATTTACTGCTACATTTACCCCAGAACACTGACTATAATCTCTGCAGCCTCAGACAATGCTGTGCCTCTCAACAGAGAGAAGAGGACAGGAAGAGATGAAACTAAGGACTCTGAGTAACAATGTTTGCTCAAGCACACTACCTGGCCCACTTGTTTTTGTAAATCCTAAGGATTGCTAAAACCCTCAGGGGAGAGTTTAAAGATCTCAAATGTGTTTTTTCCTGTTTCAGATGTGCTAGATAACAGTTGAAAGGTGTGGCTCAAGTGGTCTACTTTGCAATTTGTCTGCAAGCCATAAGGTCAGCCAGCTGTCCTTAACAGAGGAGAGGAAAATGAACCCACCCCATAAGCCAAAACAAACAAACAAACAAAACCCACACAACACAACAATTTGTAGTGATTTCTTATTCTCTTTCACATTTTTTTGTTGTTGGGAGTGGGGAATCAAACAAGGAAGTTAGAAACTAATTGAGATGCATGAACCTCACATCTTTCCCTTCACAGATTACAGCCTAGATATCAGGAGAGCTATAAAAACAAACAGCATTAAACTCTTACAGCAATCATTAAGCCCCAGAGATTAAACCCTGCTAACGACTTTTGGAGCTCCACAACAAAAAACACATTAGGACATTAAGCTTTCAGCTGGGTTTCAACTACTTCTCTAACTTGCTCTTCTGGGGCTAATTCTACCCTACACATTTTTGTCAGGCAAGAGGGATTTAAGTGAGGCAGGCAGAGATGCAATCCCCACCTGACAGCACTGTGATGACCAAAGCCCTTAATTTAGGAGCCGTGACACAAGCATGACTATACTTCAACTCTTCAGCTGATTTTCCCCAAGGGAAGGCTGAAAGAGCAGACTTTGATACTATTGTTCACTCGTACACTAAGAGGACTATCACCATGGTGAAATATCTTTAAGGTAAAGCCAGACAAGTTTGGCCTCAGTTGTTGTGTGCTGTCTCACTGCTGCAGCTTGCGTAGGGCACATACAACTGAGTTTGAGAGGTCAACTGAATTTCTCCTGGGCTCCCTGGCTTCTGATACACAGGTCCATTAAAACACTTCATGCTCAGATCCTCCTCTCTACCATTCCTCTTCATATCTGATGAGAATCTTTTGACTGCTCACTCTCTGTTCCCTTTTCTCTTCCTCGTTTGCCCAGTCCCTCCTCCCAGGCCTCTCGGATCTCCTCTCTATGGAAGTAACCTGGGATTTAATTTTTTTTCTAATCATTTCTATTTGTTTCCAGTTTACACTAGCAGAATTTATTTTTATATCAGCTGATAGCTCACACCTTTCTATCATGACTTTGTCTTTACTCATCCGCTACCATTACTCATCACTTTTACTCTACGTATTATGCTTTCCTCTATGTTATTATTCATTACTCAACCCCAGTTCTTTCTTAATACAGATCTCAAATTCTCCACTGCCACTGAGAAGCCAAAACTGCATCTTTGAACTTATTTCATACATCTAAAGGAATCTACACATGCAGACACTGGCCACTCATGTTTAGAAAAAAAAAAAAATATGTCAGTACTAATATCTTACTCCTTCCTGTCCTCCATTAAGCGGATGAAAAATTTAGACAACACAAGTCTTTGTACTAACCTTCCCTCCAGAAAGCGACATGAACTATGGACATGAAAAGTCCTCTCAGTACAGATTTGAGTAACTTGTAAAATTATGCTATGAAAACCCAGCTGAAAAAAGCTCTCTTCCTCTGCAGAAAAAGCAGCATGAATTCCTCAGAGCACAGATATCTGCTAAAACACAATATAACGAGAGCAGCAAGAAGCATTCTCTATTGTCTGAACAGTACTTACATTTCTTGCTCTGTTTTTCCACTTCAGCCTTTAATCTCTTGTATTTGTCTGTTCGGTATACCAGCACCCAAGTTATACCTGCAACAAATACTTAGCAAGTAACCAAGACAAGTAAAGACCACTTGCAACAACAGGGACACAAGTTAACAAATATTTAAGCAAAAAATACATGCCATATCTACAAAACCTTATTATAGTATGGCAAAACCAGCACAAATCACCAGAAAGCTTATCATCACCTTCTTTCAAATCTCCTTCTAAAGGGACACGTAGCAATAGATAAAAGAAACAGCTTTAGAAGTTTCCAGCTATCTTACTGAGCACTGCTGTTTTATGAGACTCATTCAGCTCCTTCATGGTCATATTTACCAGCTGTTGCTCACCTTGAACCCAGGAGTTAATTAAGGCAATAAACATCTTGATGTTCTACATTTTCACTGCACCTAATTGAGACCCTGGCCTACCAGGACCTTCCTGTTAGTACTATCACATTTTGAAGAGGCAAATAGAGATACTAGACTAGAAAAAAAATCTCGGGAGATTCTCCAGTCTAAATCTTTGTATTCAAATATCATCAGAACAAGTTGTGTGACAAATGCGGAACTAGTAGTTTAGGAAGAATTTAATCTGAGCTCCTGCATAAAGCTTTTGGTCCCTTCTTTCTGGCTTTGTTTGACAATGAGGCTGGGCTGCCGAATCCCCAGGATAACCAGCTGCCAAGAAAGGAACCACACAGGCATTTCTTGGGTCAACACAGCTTTTTGCCGTGAAAGGAAACCATTTAATCCCAAATACGATGCAATAGGGCTCCTATATCATATTCCACCTGGGACTCTCCCTCCCCTTGAATGCCCAAAGACAATGTCTTGCAGCTCTTGGATGAGGAAAATATTGGTGTATAGCTCAGTGCCAGAAAGGGGGAGCAGCCTCTTAATTTGACTACCCCAAAAGGTATCTATGTAACCTGTCCTTAAAAAGTGGTACTTATTTCAACACCCAACCACTTAAAAAGCTTTTTCAAACAACCATTCAAGTTCAGCACATTTCTTCACATCCTTCCACAAGGGCTACAGAAAATCACCAGTGTCCTCTTTCATGCACTGTTCCAGCCCATCCTCCCATAGCTTTCCTACTTCTGGAGGAAACACACCCCGCCTCCATCACTTTACACCACAGGTCAGCTTCGTTCAAGAGTCATTCACTACCGTCCTGCTGGATGCCTATACCGGCCCCCAAGCACCAGGCCTCAGGTGGCCCCGAGTAACCGGACCTCGTTTCACACCCTCCTGCTCTTCCTCCGACACCCCCTCTCCCTCCCGGCCCGCCCACCCTCCTCCGTGACCCCAATTCCGCCCCTTAACCCGCTATTTCCCGGCCCTCAGGGGCGACGCGGTCCTGCCAGGCGAGTCCCAGTC